CCTTTTCTACGTGCACCTTGGCCCCCACTCCTCAACACTCGGTCAAGATAATGGGTCTGTTCTTTATAGCTGAACTGGCTGCACTAGTTCAGAGTTTATCTTTTTCTCTCCCCATTGGAAAGAGAAAGATAAGCTCTGAACTAGTGCAGCCAGTTCAGCTATAAAGAACAGACCTATACTATGTCTATGCCTGCACTTATTGGTATCACTTAGAGCACTACCACGCATGCGCGCACCTGGGGCGTGTAAAAAGAGAGGCAACTATGATTTTCTTTCTTACTTCCTTCGACATGTTTTTCTATCGGGAAACAAAGGCATTTCCCTTCCATTTATATATGTTCTAAGGGTACATCGCCAGGAAGCTAATCAGCAATCCTGATATATAGATCAGTGACACCGACGATATATCATTAAAGACCGGTGGTCTTATGGGATTTAGTGTGACTGGAAAAAAACTCGCTGCGCGTTATTTTAGTTCATCCAGTTATTGTTTTATTATCAAAAATGTATAGATCTTTTATATAACTGCCTTAAGAACAACAAAATAAACATTTTATCGTAAATTTACTGTTTTATTATCGACAATGCAAAGATTTACTTACCTACAGTACCGCGTGGCGAGTTTTTTCCGAAAGTAATGTGCTAAATCCTATAAGACCATCGGTCTCTAATAATATCTCGTCAGTGTTTTCGCTAATAAAATAATAACTGGATGAAGTAAAATAACCGTACAAATTAAATTATTCGTGTAATTATATTCGATCCAATCAAACGGCCGGTAATGTCAAAACATTCTTCAATTATCTCCAGGCCCACCGGGCCCACTTGATGGTCACAAAAGTTTACCCAGGGCTGACGGTCTTTAATAATATCTCGTCGGTGAAAGAATTCACGCAGATTCAAACTGCCACCAATGGCCGCGTTCGGGTTCGGCAGAGAAAGCGCTCAGCTATCGTCTTGTCAACACTCGACGTTGATTTGTTGATTCTAAAGCTCGTATCAGACTACGCATTGAAGATTGAGATTCAAGATTC